AGGCGGTGAAGTGTACACAGGCGCTGTGGTCCACGCGGGCACTGTGGTGTATACAAGCGTTGTGGCGCAAATCGCCACCTACATGCTGGTGCTGCCCGTCCTCCGTCATTCCCAGGCATTCCCAGACGCCGCCGGCGCGAAACGTGACGTCAACGACCCCCTCCACCCCCCCCCAAATGATTGCCGTCATCGGCCCGGGAAAAAAACAGGCTCCAGCCGCGTCCGCGCGCACGATGACGATGAGCGACAAGCGACGAGCCACGAGAGATGACGACGACGACGACGACGACGACGACGACGACGACGACGACGACGACGACGACGACGACGACGACGACGACGACTGCGGACCAAACTCCTATGCGGATTCCTGCGCGGACACCTGCGCGGATCCCAACGCGCACGGCGGCAGTGCCCGGAGCGCACTGGGGGGGGAGCGTTACGTCATGGGGGGGGGAGGGGGCCGTCATGCTCCAAACAATAAAAACGAGCTCTCTCCCCCCCGAATCCCGGGGGGGAAGGGGGGGTGGGTTTGGACGGTTTCCGGGGCCCGAAACTCAAAACTAAACTATTTTCGGAAAGCAACCCACCCACCCCAACAAAAAAAACATTACAGAATAAAAACACCGAAAAACGACAGACAAACAACTATTGGCTTTTTTCGGCTCAGCGCTCCCAGGATGCCTCCTATTCAGGGTTATTTTCTAGTTTGCATAATCGTTTTTTGTTTTTGTTTTTTTCCCCCTCGGAGGGGGGACCCCCCGAACAAAACCCAACTCGGAAGCTTTTCTGGTGTTTCTCCTAAGTTTTTCCGGGGGGGGAAGCGCCCGAAACAAAAACCCATTTCGGCGGGTTTTCGGAAGGGTTTCCCGGGGGGGGGACCCCCGACGGAGGGGGACCCCCGAAAAACCATTTAACTCGGAAGTTTTTCGGGGGTTCCAGGGTCCCACAAATAAAAACAACCATATTTCAGAAAACCCTCTGGGAAACCTCCCAACTCGGGGGTTTGTCGGGGGGGGTTTGTTGTTTTGTACGATTTTTATTTTTTTCCAGGAGGGGGAAGCCTCGAACAGAAACTCCAACTCGGGTTTTTGTTCGGCGGTTCGGGGGCCCCGCACTTAAAAACAAACGTAGTTCAGATAATCACCCAGGCACCCCCCGAACAAAAACCCAATTTTGGCTTTGTTGTTTCTGAAGTGTTTATGATGCTTCTCGGCTCTTTTTCCTTGAGGGGGAACCCTAGAAACAAAACCAGTTGTCCTTGTTTTTTTGTCCCCCCCTCTCCCCCCGAAGTTTTTCAGCGGCTTTGGGGCCTGAGGGCCCAGCAACTGAAAAGTTGTCTCGAACGATCCCCGCCGAAACCTTCGGCGTTGGGTCCCAACGGTGCGCGCGCCTACTGGAAGGATGTGTGTAATGCCCAGCGGCGTCGGCTAGCGCGGCGGCCGGGCCAGGTCGCGAGTTGATGCGTTCCGAATTCTAAAAACCCAGGCCCCTGACGAGGACAAAACCAAACCCAAAACGCTTTCTGCGATACCCCGAAACCTTTTCTGAGATGGTATCAACCTCCGGTAAGTGAAACAGGAGGAACAGCAACAGCACCACGAGGAAGAGACGGACGGCGAAAGACGAGGAGGAGGAACAAGGAGCTAGGGCGGGCCTTTCCGTCCTCTTCCTGTTCCTCACCATCGTCCTCGTTCCTCCCCCTTCCCCCTCCTCCTCCGTTCCCTCCTCCTCGCCCTGTTGTTCGTCCGCCTCCCTGCCCATGCGCCTGCGCCCCCCCCTCTTTCCTCCATCGCCCCCGTCTTCCTCGCTCCCCCGAGCATGCGCGGGGCGCGCGACGGCCCCGGGCGGAGCCCCCCCCCCCCCCCCCCCCCTGCACGTGGGTATCCGACATCCACGGGCGCGCGTTGGTCATATCTGTCACCATCTGGTTGGATATGTTGTGGTATCATCTGCGTGGCGGCACTCTGTCATTGCATGACATGTTGTCAAATTATGTTATGGTGTGCTCTGTTCCGTGATGCGGTCGAAGGCTCGGCACAGTGCATTATGCTATGTTGTGATGTGCTAGTAAATTTCGCAATGGTACACCGGACTCACTTCTATAGCGCTCACTTCTATAGTGCTCACTTTGAAATTGTGGTCCGGAAGGGGCCGCACATGCAGGCACATGCCGCACAGTCGCATGCACATGCCCATGCAAATATACAAAAGCCTCAACAGCATTGCCGCACATGCGCGCACATGCCACACCGTCCGACGCACAGTCGAATGCACGGTCAAGCAAAACTCTGAAAGCATAGACGCACATGCCCGCACATGCCGCAGAGATGTCGCAGGCGATAGTGGCCTGACCACCTGAGCTCGGGGCATTTCGCAACCCAGAGTTCCGAGGATGTCTCAGGCAAGCGTGGCCGGATCACCATGGGGCAGGGCATCTTGGAAACCAGAGTGGCGAGGATGTCGCTGGTCAAGGTGACCAGACGACCATGGGGCAGGA